GGGGGAGTGGAGGGTGCCAGGAGGCAGATACCCAAAGGGCTGAGATCCAAGCAGGCAGGGGTGCAAAGGGGCAAAGATGCAAAGGGTCGAGGGGCAGAGGGGCAGGGGGTGCACAGGGGCAGAGATGCGAGGAGCAGAGATGCAAAGGGGAGGGATGGGAAAAGGCAGAGATGCGAAGGGGGCAGAGAGGCAAAGGGGAGGGATGTAAATGAGAGAGGTGCAAAGGGGGAGGTGAAAAGGGAGGGATACAAAGGGGAGGGATGCAAAGGCAGAGTTGCAAAGGGGAGGAATGCAAAGGGAAGAGGTGGACAGGACGGAGAGTGCAAAGAGGCAAGATGTAAAAGAGCAGAGATGCGAAGGGCAAGCACACCCCAGGGTGAGGGCAGCTGCTGCCAGGCTTCCCCTGGCCCCGGGGTGGGCACTGGTGGCACCCAGGGCTTTGGGAGGTGAAGGGGTGGCTCGTAGGGTGCTGGAAGTGCAAGGGTCCCGGTGGAGCAGGGGGCCGTGCACAGCTCCTGCTGGGAAAGAAGAGCTTGGGAAACAAGATGTGTGTGGGGGGAAGCTTGTAACCCTGGTCACCCACTTCTCCCACTTCAGACGAAGATGGAGAAAAACTTGCAAGTGGAGGAGAGCAGCTCTTCTTAGCAGCCTGCAATCACTTTTCAAAGTGCCTCTGGTGAGCAAAAATAAAAAGCCAGTTCTCAATATATTTTCGCTTCCCATTGTTTCATCCTAGAACTGGCTGAGGCAGCTTCAGGCTTCTCCAGCTTCTTGGCAGATGGCTCAGAGACTGACCCTCTCCCCACATATCAACTGCTGTGGAGCTTCTCCCGGGGATCCCCGGGGGCCCTGCACCACCCACAGCCCGAAATTAGCCTCTTTCTATTTCAGTATTCTCTTTTTCCCACATATGATCTGACTGGGGATAATAGAGTCAGGAATGGGCATAGGACCCTTAAAAACTTTTGTTAGAATATGAACATCATGGAGACATGGTCCCACTTAAATGTCTCCCTAGCTGTGATGGTCACTAAAAGTTTGACAGCATGTCCTGGCTGGTTTCTTTAATCTCATCCTCCGTCTGCCTGTAGCCTCCATCTGCCTCTCCAGTCCTCTACAAGGACTAGACTCTTGGGAGCAGAAGGTGCCTTTTTGTTCCATGCTCGTGCTGTGCCCCATATAGGGGGTCCTTGTGCATGACTGGTGTTTGAAATAATGTGCAAAATAATGAATCATCAGTTAAATAATGCTGAGCCAAGTTCATGACAGTGAGACAAGACTTCTTCTGTGACAAGTGTCTCCCTCTGGAATAGTTTCATCAGACTCAGCTGTGTGCAGAAAATGGGCTGAAGACTTTAACAAAGGTAATATTCATATTTCATGATGGCATGGTCCCACAATGTATTTCAGCATAGCTTTACACAAGAACAGCAAAGTTGGTTCTTGCTAAAACAGAAACAGACTTTGATTTTTTTCCCTAACAAAAACTCCAGAATGACAGATAGAGCTTTTCTAACTTTTTTTAATAATATATTTCTTGAAGATCAACAAATTGCTTCACAGCTTTCAGGAAAAGGCTTAAAGGACAATCCTGAAAAAAAATTTTTTGAAGAAAATAACCTCAGGAAATCAGGAAATCCCAACAGACCAACAAGCTCAAATTTTTTTTTAATGTTAACCATCAGGAAAAACTGCTTTTGCTTTGGAAACTGAAGGGACTACACTGCAGTAGAGAAGGTTTCAGAGCCTCTTTCAGTAGATTTTAGATACATAAATAAGAACTAAGGAGGAAAACAAATAATTGAGGCTGCTGTTGACTTCAGACAAGGCTGGGGCAGTCCTGGAGGCATTTTGTGCAATCCAGTGTACATGGAGGCCTTGGTATGAACCTCATAGATAGGTTTCTGTTGAGAAACAGTGCTTCAAGACACAGGCGAAGACATGGGGGTCATGTGAAGAAGGAGAAAAGTGCTGCAAGTGACGGGAGAGATGTTCAGCCCATCCAAGGTGGTCTCTCCATGTCTCTCCATGGTCTCTCCATGGCTGCTCCAAGTGGTACAACTGGCTTCAGAGCCTAGTGGCCTCAGCAACATGAATCTTGTGTCGGGTATGGGCAGCAACATACAGGTATGTTATTACTCCAGCACTGCTGCTGAGGAGGTGGAGCCCCAGGAAGCTGATGAGATGTTTGTAACCGTAGGTTGGTTGGTTTTGTCCTGGGAACCAAATCTTAGCTTGCATGAAACACAATTGCTATTTCTTCTGTGTATACATACAAGATTGATATCGTCTGGGTAGAAGAGCCTCATATTTAAGCTTCATCTCTGTTTACTGTGTGTTGCAAGTGAGTAATGGTCAACTGTCCTCAAACCACTTTGGAAATATCTAATCTAAGCTGTGATCTGTTCTGCTATTCCTCACATTTCGGTTAGCCACCACGTAGCAGCTGGGAGGGAGGACAGGGTGAGAAAGGGAGAGACACGGGCAGCTCACACCCAAAATATGGATGTATCTTTCCTTAATGCTACCATTAATAGTCTAAATTAAACTGCTTATATTTGGCAAGAGTGCTTGAATCAGTGAGCCATCTCAGAAAACATAACAGCATTTGCTGGCATACGCTGGCTCTGGGTGATGCTCTCCAACTCTCTTTTTGCTGGTGATTACTAGAGTGTGGAAGCAAGTAATTAATGTTCTTTGGAATTTCTCTGTCATCCTGCAGAGTGGTCATGTTGGTGTTTTGAGGCTACAGCGGGAGTCCATGCAGCTGACTTCAGAGCTGAATGAGCTGAAAGGAGGTCTTGGCCATAACTCTGGAGCAGATGCAGTAGGTATGCAAGTCTTCACATAAAAATAATAATAGCTCTCACTTTAAAGTGCCCGATTTCCTTGTTCTCTTCCATTTATGTTTGCTGGTGCTGTGCCCAGTGCCGTTGTAAGGGCTTGGGGTGGCTTGTCTTCTCCTGTGCCCTCTGCAAGATGTCCCCAGCTGAGACCTCTCCCTGTCAGGAGGCTCTCCGGAGATTCATCAGTGGGTAACCTTTCCTTCCCATCCCAACAAACTGGTCCCTTGGGCTATTTGCTGTTTGAGTTCATTAGCAACTTTCAGATCAATATTTTAGTAAAGAATTAGAACTGTCTACATTCAGATCATAGTGATTAACATGATTTTGCTCTTAAATTTCTCTCCGCAGAAGCACTATCAATTTTCTTCTCTCTTCCTTTATTTCTGAGATAGTGAAAAGTAGCAGGAGCATCTGAATACGTTCCAGGAGTCCTTTCTCTTCCAGCTCTGGATAACAAGGAATTAGTGACATGAAGTAAGGATTTAGAAACCCTCCCTGGAGACCGCATCCTTCAGATCTGTGTTTGCTGTTTCTCTGCAGGGATCCACCGTCTGATCTGAGACGTTCTTCAGTGCAGCGTGAATACTTTTGTGCTGTGAACTGAGCATGGGTCTGACAAGTGCTGTAGCCAAAACCAGCTAATCAGGGGAGCATCAATAGAGCCAATTACCACTCAGGCTACGCTTTCAGCCACTCATGCATGTGCCACAGTTATTCATTCACTTCCTCCGCTTAGATAGTCTTGTAGACTTTGAGACAGCCTTGTGTTTTCCCAGGCAGGAGCTCTTCCTTTTCTTCCACACATCTTTACAGATATTTAAACCAAAGGTTTCTCCCTCTGGGCTGTGCCATTTTCTTTGCTGTTTCTGTGGCGATGAGGGTGATTTAAGCCTTTTAATAAAACATAGCTCTGCTCTGTCTCTCTCTTTGCCTTTAAAGTATTGACAAAGTTGAGTGTTAGTCCAGGTATCAAACAAGAGAGCACGGTGCTCGGAGTCTGGCTGCCTTTCTGATGGGTGTAGGTGATCTGAAACCTCAGCCCAGCTGTCTTTTATTTATATATCCACAGTGATTCCTTTGTAGTCCAGGGTACAAAATATCAAACCCAGATTTCTTTCCACCTGCCCACCCCTCTTTAAACTGGGCAACCTACAAAGATTAATATTTGGCTGTGTTAGTGTCCCCACAGGAAGAGATGTTTTCATTACCTTCTTCTCTCTATGCTTCTCTAATCTGAGTAATTCTTCTCATAGTTTGACATTTGGTCCATCATATTTAACTATTTTTGTACCAATGTCTGGGCTGGGTGATTCCTATTGAAAAAAAATATTCCCTGGCCGAAGTTCCCTGTAGTTCTTTATGTTTCTTTCTTTTGAAGAGTAATAATGACCATGAAGAAACAGGATCTGTCTTTGGGGATCAGCTGGGAGTACACTGCTGTCTCAAAGAGTTTGCAAAGATTTACTTTATGCACAGCAGTAAAAAGACTTTCTGTAATACCACTTTGAATTTGAATGGAAAAGTGAGTAGAAGGATCAAAGATTTGGTATGGATGGAGATCTTTGCCTACACCTTCATTGCATCTTTCTGCCCTTTCTTGACCCCTTTGGCCTTCACCTTTCTCCACTGTCCATCTTCCCCATCCTGCCCTCACCATGCCCACAGGGTCCTGCTCTCCTCTCCCTCTGCCCCGATCTCTGACAAATCTCACCAATTTAAATGCAGTTTCCTTTCGATACGGACCTCTGTCCTGTTAGCTGTGTCCTCCTACCCAAACTCCCATCTCAGCCTGGCTCCCTAACGTCTGGGGACATCCAGCCCCCATCTCAGACCCATCGTGGCTGAAGGGGAACTGTTACTCTCATTCCAAGTGACCCTTTCTCCCTTTTTCAGTCACTGGCACTATCACCTCCTCTTACCCATTGCTTGGGCTTACAACCTGGATGTCATCCTCACCTTAGACTTTCCTCTCTGTTCTCAAGGTTGTGTAGACACTTTCCCCATAGCTTCCCCCAGACACAGCCTTTCCCACCATTTACACAACCAAGATGCTGCGCAGGCTCTTTCCTCTCACGTTTTGAGTCCTGCAGCATCTTTTCCTGGGCAGACCCAGCCTTGGCCCACCACTGTCCACCCAACTTGTTGCTACACAGTTTTTCTAGCCCATCACTACTGATTACGTTCACCACCCATCTTTTCCCTGGGCTCCCTTGGCTACCCGCATCCACCCCTTGCTTCATGCCAGGCTCTTACAGAAGAGCTCTGAGGCAAGGACCTCCTCGGCTCTGTGTTTCTGCAGCATCTGGTTCGTGAGCCATGACTGCAGGTCCAAGAATAAGAATAGCAACAACGTGCAAGCTGATTCCAGCCCAAGTCAGCGGAGGCCAGAAGTTGCCGCGCTCAGAAGTCTGTTCATAAATCAATGTGAAATGTGCTGTCTGAGCATAGCTCCCAGTAGACACACATCTGCATAACACATACCACTGACAAAACTGGCGATGGGAAAAATATCTAAACATATCATTCCCACAGCTGTGGAGGAATGAATAAAGATGTCTAATTCCCCTGTCCCTGGGGTGAACCCTGGTCCAGGTAAATGCACTTCTTGTATATCAGATGTTTTAAAGGCAGAGGGACCATTAGAAAAGTCTAATCTGACCACACGGGCTAGAAGATGTCATCCAGGGACTCCTGTGTCAAGATCATAACTGAATTTAAAGGAAGAGAGCAGAAGAAAGACATCCAACCCTCACTTTAAAATCTCAGATGGTGGAAAAGCAAGCTTATCCCTTGGTGAGTTGTTCCAATGCTAAAACCTTGTGCTTTTTCCCATTCTAGATTTGCCTAGCTTCGGCTTCCAGCCATGGGATTATGTTGTGCTGTTGTCTGCTACTTGAAAAAAAAACCCTCTTATTAGAAATCCTCACCCAGTTTTGGCATTTATAATCCACTAAACAAGCAGTCCCTCGAATAAATTGAATACAAACAGTTTCTTTTACTCAGTGGCAGGATGACGAGACTATCAGCCATTGTTGTATCTTGATTGCCCCAGATTTTCAGCATCCTTTTCTCCTGCAGAGACCAGAGATGAACACTGGATAGTAGAGACTAGTCTCCAAAGAGCCAGGAAGAGGGCAGCACCACCACTCCTATTTGGTTTTCTGCTCCTTCATCCAAGAACCACCTTTATTCTGCTAGCCAGCATTACAGAAGTATGGAGCAATTTCCATCGGTCACTCCTGAAGAAAAATTGTATTGGCAAAGTGCAGTTTGCATTTCAATCCTAGCTCAGTCAAGTGAAGGCAATTCTGGCCTGGTTTTGGGCCAGAGCAATCATCCCTCTTGCACCTAGTCACTCACACTGGGTCTCTTCAGCTGCGGCATCACAGCGGAGTAATGAAGAAAGTGATGCTGTACACATCTGAGTCCTAATGCAGCAGTGATATTGTGGGACTTTGGCTTCTTGTCTGGAAATAAAAAGATGGAGGCGTGAAATGTTTTGCCTTTGCTTTAATAGCTCAAGTTTTCTGGATTTATATCCTGTCCCTCCTATGTTTTCAAAGAGTTGAATTTGTTTTAATTTTTGAATCACAGCTGGAGGTAACATGTTTGACACTGTCCTTTTCTAAAGAGAATTTAGTGCTGCTAAATGGTACCAGATTGCCAGGGCTGACTTCTCTCTGTGCCCCCAGCCAAAAAGCAGCAGGACAAACCTGAGTTGGGGAAGGGGTTGCCTTTCAAAAGGGCCAAGACGCTCCCAAAGACGCTGTCTTTGCTGAGTGCAGAGATGATGTGCAGATAGATCCAGCAGAGGCAGGTCATCAGAGACAACATCTCTCCCTGTGCAGCCTTCCAGTCTGCAGGAACCACCTTACCTTTCCTTCATCACTCAGAAACCAGCATCTGACCTCAGAGTATCTTGTGTAGAGCCCATATGGTAATGAGAATCATGACTCTCATGCTATTACTGACTGAACAGGAACAGGCATGCATGTCCAGGAGGCTGCATGGCCCTGACTTGGGATAGTCCCACGCAGACCAACCTTTCTTCCTGGAGTTTGCCTGGATAAAACGAAAAGGGGAGAAAGGCATCTTATAATGAGAGATCTTAGCACCACGTATAGTTAATGCAATTGAACTCACATTCTGTTCAGTTTTCACAACTGGGTTCTTACTCTGATGAGTTAATTCCCTTTGATGTCCCTTCTGTCCCTCCCCTGATTTTGTTGAGCCTAAAATAACCCAACTGTCCATCTTGCTTATGGAATTACTGAACTTTTAAGAGAACACAAAGTGCTCTCACATGAGGATTTGGGATTAAACCTCTCTTGTTTATGTTAAACATAACATCTTAATTCTTCCACTGCTGGAGGGCAAACAAGTCTCCACAACCCCAAAGAAACCTGCTTTCAAGCCCTATAGCAAAGGTCAGTGTGATTTGTTTCTCATTACAGATGTTCTTTCCGGTAAAGTTGTCTCATGGTATATGACAGTTCTCTTACAAAACACCTTCATGCAATTTAAAGCGTTTTTACTTAAATATCTTCCATTGTAATACAACAAATGCTTAATTTTCAGCACATTTCTCTTCTCTCAAACTGCACTAATCAGTGGAGTACCTGACTTTATTCCAGGGATGTGGTAAGGAACACAACTGCCTACCATCCATGTCTCATCCAACACCGAAGGAGCTCTGGAATTGAAGGGGGGAATCCCACTGAAGCTGGCAGTTCCCTGAACTGGGTTTGACTCCAGCCTCCTGGCTCTGGGAGTACGTGTACCTTCTGTACAGATGTGCATGCACATCTGGAGGGGCAGACCTGTGGGAAAGGGGGCCAAGACACCACAGATTACTGAGTGGTGGATTACTATAGACTGCTACAGGGGTGAGAAACGCCCCTGCACCCCATGAAGTCCCACAGATGAAGGGAATAGGAAATAACATGAGGGATGAGGCAGACACAGGGATACGGAGCCCAAGAGAAAACCAGAGGCAACAGGGGAAAGGCAGAGGAATTGGGAGGAAAGGCAAGGAAAGACTCAGAACAGGAGAGAAGGGGCAGTGAGGGAAGTAAGTGGTCAAGGTAAATTTTAGGCAAAGAAGGAATGAAGGAAGGAATTAAGAAATTTGGAATTTCATTTATTGAATGTCATGTGGTAAACTTACTGAAAGAGGGACAAGAAAGGAAAAAAAGGAGCAACTAGAATCCTAAACCTTTTTTTTTACGTGGCCACTGATTGGAAGTGTCCGATATAAACACCATCAGAGACACCTGCTTTTCCCCACAGGAGCTGCCAGCCCTTCTGTAAAACCAGCTTTCGCTCAGCAGTCTCACACTGGCCAGCTTGCATCACCCCTTGTCCTGCAGAAAGCTGGCCTTAACAGGAGTGTCATGCTGTGCCTCCCTGCTGGTCCCCATCCCCCTGACCCGCCTGCAGCTGGAGAGCTGCTCTCCTTCCTCTGCCTCCCTCCCCTACCACGGCCCTGCCATCCCCCCCCCCCCCTCTTTTGTCTCATGAGCATCCCCACATCTACTTCCATTTCTGGGCCATTTAAATGAAGTACCAAGAGAAGGAGAGAGGTGGGATTTCTTGTCTGAGGTGGCTTTATAAGCTGTGTCCCAGACAGTGAGGGCTCATAGCCCTCCCACCCATGTTCATCAACACTCACATGAGATGTGCCCACTCCCCACAAACCACCTATTCCCCAACCACCAGGCAGTGAGTTTCTCTTTAACTGCTACTGAGAGGGCATCAAACCATCTAGACAAACCTCACAAAATGGCTCAAGGACCTGCTCCATTAGCATATGGGCTCTCTATTTTTCTGTCTTGAGTAGGTTTTGCTCTTCTCTGGTATGCTTTTAAATAGGTCTTTGACACAGTGGCTGTGTTTACAGAGCAGTTCACATGAAAGCACATCCCCCCTGCCGTTCTGCAGGAGGTTTATTTGGATTTTAGAAATTACCCTCAGCAAAGGATAAAAAAACTACACTTAACCCAGTGAGTTAACCCAAGCTTGTGGCCAAGGTAGTGAAATGGGCTCTGATCCAGCTCCCTCACTGGAGATTGCTTGCTCCTCTCATAGCAATCAGCTGGCTTGTTGCTGAGCAAAACTGCCCTCCTGACTCAGGGGAATTTCTTCCCCCAGGAGCTGCGTTAGCAATGCCACCAATGTTAATGAGGGATTCACTTGGATGCCGGCGATGAGGGCCATGCTGCTGATGTGTAACTGTTGGTCATTTAGTCCTGCTCCTGACTTCCTTGGCAATGAGATGCTCCCACACGCCATCAGCATTGCCAAGGAGGAAACACCTCTACCTCTGAACCTGCCTTTGCTAAGTGAAATGCATCCATGCAACTTGCTGATAATCCATTGGGAGAGGCTGACTGCTATGCTGCTGCGCAGTAGATTGATGCATTTGCATGCACACAGCAGCCAGCACAAGGTCATATGTCAAGGCCAGGACAGCTGTCCCCTGGCCACTGCTTCAGGGGTTGATGACATATGTACAAGGCAGGTGGTGTTGGAGCCTGTAAAGGCTATAAAATCCAGCAGCAGCAGCAGCCTAAGCACATGATTTGCTGGATTATATTGCCTGACAGCAAAGCTGTCTGGCTCCTCCTTGGATTGCATTAACTGTTTGGGCTGAAACATCACATTTTATGTGTTTATCTTGGGTAGATTTCTGTGGAAAATATTTCAATGGTCTCTTCACCAGAGAAGGCTTAAAAGCAATGTCTTGTTTTGCTTGTGTTGAAGACTGTCTTCCTATGAGTAGAGGAAAGATCTTCATATTTGGCTGAAAGGTAGGGATGGAGAAGGAGATTAACTGGAAGGGGATAAGATTTGGGGACCAAAAAGCCAAGCCTGGTAGGTCACATAGGTACCAGCTTCTTACTACATAAAGTGATTGTGAATTCACATCCATTAACGCATTTGTGGCACTCAGACAATGTGGAGACAAGCATCACAGGAAAGCCTATATAGGTGGTAATAGTTCTGCCCCTCAAGTTCCGCCTCTCAAATCCTTAATGATTCAAGGACAGAGGATTTCAGGATGTTTGCACACTGAGCAGTGAAGGTAAAACATAACTGCCCTCTAGAAGGGCACAGTCCAAACTGCCTCTCAGGGCTCACCGCCCTGCATGAAGGCTTAGGAGACAGCAGATGTTCTTGTGCTACTGAAGATTTACCATTGCTCATTCGCGCCCATGTGCATGTAGCACTTGTTGAGAAACCAGGAAAGACCTTCTCTGCCGTTCCCATCTCCAATGCAATAGTTAGAGAACAGCTGCATTCTGCAGACACCCTGCTAAAAACCCTGCTGTGCAGAGGCTTGCTGCAGCTGGAGCTGGGCACAGGCACAGCATGAGGTCTTGCAGGAGTCTGAAACATTTAGGGGGGGCTTTCACAATGTAGACAGCCCAAAGAAATTGTCCTCACTACTTGGAGGTCCATGCCATTCCAGGAATTACTGGGAATAAGAGTACAAAGTCACTTGCAGCCCCTCCATCCTCTTGCTGTGAGCTCGCTGCTGAGGTTCAGCTCCGAGCCTTGTCTGCTGCACAGGTGATAACATAACTATAAGGGGAAGGAAAATATCTCTTTCACAGAGATGTATGTTAATCTCCAGTTCTGATTAAATATATCCCAGCTGCTAGGAACAGCTGTGAAAGATTTTTTTTCTTTGCCTTTTTCAAGTGTGATGCATTCCCCCTCTTCACCATCCCCTTGAGAAGGGGGGAAGAAGAGCATCGGATAAAAGCCTTGCTCCAGGGCAAGTAAAGATCCAAACTACAGCTTTGCATAAATCTGTCACTTTGATTCCCCTGAGAACAACTGCAAACTTGAAAAATGGCATAGTGAAGCAGGCACAGGTGTTAACTCCTCTTTTTTTAATTGGTAAAAAGAAACAGGGAGAAAAAGTTTCTGCGAACAGCCCCCAGAACATGATTTCTTTCACTCAGCTTTAAGCTTCGTTAGCTCTTCCAGGACTATCTCTGTGTTGATAAAAATCTTATTTCTAAACCAGAAAGCAAATGGGGAAATTGTCCTGTTTCAATATCTGCTGCAAAATCCACATTAACCGCCCTTTGCTGCTTCTGCTGTTTTATTCTCTCCCTGGAACAATTTCTGCGGGGCTTTTTGCTGTCTCTCTCACTTTTAAATGCTAATGCATCAAAGATTTGATGGGTTTGGCTCAGGGGTGGGAGGGCAGCCTCTGAGGAGGCTCAGTGATGTCTTTCACCCCAAGGTCAGCTTTGTATCCTGCATTAAATTTCGCTCTTTTACTTGAAACAAAGAAACACTGTTGTTACAAACACTTCTCCTCTCCTCAATCCAGGCACTTTCATCCCCAAACGCTTCAGCAACAAGTGGCCAGATTTCGCTCCAGCGAGCGGAGGCGGCCATGAGGGCTGAGTTCATCTTTGCTGGGGCCCAA